TATCTATCTATCTATCTATCTATCTATCTATCTATCTATCTATCTATCTATCTATCTATCTATCTATCAATCATTCACATACAAAACAAAGTGAGACACTGTAAATGTGTGACTGAGGTTGTCTTGGTTGTAAAATAAAAGCTTGGACTGACCTGTAACTGTGAGATTGACCTTCTTAGTATCACTTTCAGGAAGAAGTGTGCACGTGTATGTGCCAGCATCATCAGACTGCAGGTTCTTCATGATGATGGACACATTTCCATTGTTGTAACKACCTTGGAGGAAGGACACTCGATCTTTGTACTTCTTATCCTGGTTTTTTAAGTTTGATTCACCACCAATGATGTCCTGTACAATCAAGCCATTGGCGTCTCTCCAGAAGACATTGTCCGTTTGAGACAGAGATTGTTTAAAGTTGCAGGACAGAGTGACGTCTTCTCCAATATAACCTTTAACTGTATCCTGGCAGTTCACTGAGAAACAACAAAGATTCACACAGATAAATATTCACTGATTCTGGACCTGTTCACCAATCAGACAGCTTTGACTGTGAAATCAACAGATTAATCAAATAATCTAAATCTACAAGGATCAGTTCAGTAACAACAAAGAGAATTCAAAAACAAAAATTGGTTTGTCATTTTTAAATAAATGTTGCTGCTTTTACTTTATAACCTGATATAAATTATTTATTCACCTTACATTAGGGAAACAGATGGTTGAATTTTTTAATTTAATTTCTTTTTACCATCTTTTTAATGTGAGGGCCCTGTCACACTACAAAGRTTTAGACAGCTTGTACCAACTAATGAAAAGTTTATCCAACACTAAAAATGTTTAAGCTGAAGATGGAATTTTTTAATCAAATTTACTGGAAGCCTCTTTTGGACCTATACATACCATAGGCGTAATTTGCAGGGGGGTTAGGGGGGTTAGGGGGGTTATGACCCCCACAATAAATTGATCCAGTCAAAAATAACCCCAATAAAATGACATTGTTTGCTCAAACACAATAGAAATTAACTGCTTAAGTAGACAGATGCAACTCTCTTGTTGTCTTTATGTAACTTTGACCTGATTAAAAAAATTTCAATGTCATATATCAATGCTTTAAGCATAATTACTAAAAATGGCATGCAGGGTTTGAGCATAACCGCCCCAATGGTAGACCTAAAGTTACACCCTTGATACATACTGTAAAGCTAACAACTAGATCAAATATACAGTATAGACAATATGAGTAAAATGGTCAACAACATTTTCATGTCAGCATGAGTTGTCTAAAACAGAGTATGACAAGTTTTTACCAAAGAAAATATTAGCTCCAACTGTTGTCACCACWGTCATTTTCTGATCAATAATTAATATCCTGTTTGACTGAAGCTGCCTCTGGTTCATCAGTTTTGCACCATTATTTGATGGAAACTAGGCTACAAACTGAAACTAACGGCTGAAAGTGACAGTAACTTACAAACTTATGACTTACCTGTATTTTTTTTTTTTTTTTTGGGGGGGGGGGGGGAATTAAAACAAAAAACAGATATATCAAACTAAAACCTAAATGTGAGTACTTACTGTACTTGTATAACACCTTTCTATCCAACCAGCATACTCAAAGTGCTTCACACTACAGTCTGCGTCCTCATTCACACAGCACACTATTATCTCTTTACAAAGCTAACTTGAACAATCAATCTATAAATTGTAAACCTCAGTGCTAATCACATTAATGCACTGATGGGACACATCGGACAGTGGAGGTTCAGTGTCGTGCACAGGGACACTCTGACATGTGACTGAATAGCAGGGAATAGAACCACCAACTCTCTTGTTGATTCAAGATTTAGGTGTCAAAAAGGCATCTGTTGTTAAACTCCATCAGAGCTCTGAGCTTCTATCTGATGCTCCACCTCTTTTCATTTATCCAGCTGAGAGGATATCAGGTCAGGGTTTACATGTCCTCCTTTGACCTTAGAACCTCTGAACAGACCTGTGATGACATCATTTTAATGTCTGACACCATCTGCTGTCATATTTGAATCAGACAGAGTTCAATGAAATTGTAGCCTGATGTCTGATTCTTAGATTAATAACAATGTTAACAAACAGGAAACATGAACAAACACCCAAAGAAACTCACCTGATCCCCAACAGAAGAGCAGCACCAACATCAACACCTGAGGTCTGCAAACAGAAACAAACCAAATGATGCCAAGTTTCTGATTTATGAAAAAATATTGGAAAAGATATTTGTAAATAAATTTGACAATTTTATTGAAAAATATGAGTTATTGAATGATCATCAYTATGGGTTTAGGAGTAAAAGATCAACTTCATTAGCATTAAAAGATTTTGTGGAAAATATATCAGCAGCAATGGACAAGAAATTACATACTTTAGGTGTATTTATTGATGTACGTAAAGCATTTGATACTATGGATCATCCATTATTATTGCATAAACTGGAAAAATATGGTATAAGAGGTATCACTAAACAATGGTTAACAAGTTATAAAAATAATCGGCGTCAATACGTTGAAATTAATAATACTGAATCATATTGTAAAAAGGTAATCTGCAGTGTTCCACAGGGATCAGTTTGGGGGCCAAAGTTATTTATAATTTATTTGAATGACATTGTTAAAGTATCAAATAAGTTGAAATTTGTTACTTTTGCAGATGATACTAATTAATTTTATTCAGGAGATGATGAATTGCTATCAACTGTAGAACAGGAACTGGTATTATTAAAAACAGGTTTGATATTAATAAAATATCTTTAAAGGAAAGTAATACAAATTTTATGGTTTTCAGTGGAGTTAGGGTTAGACATAATATAAAATTAAATTTACATGGATTTGAAATTGAAAGAGTACCAGGAATAAAATTCTTGGGAATAATCATTGATGAAAAACTATCTTGGAAGTCGCATATAGTGTATATCAGACAAGAAATATCAAAATCGGTTGCAATTATTTTTAAAACTAAAGAATTGTTAAAGAGAAGTTGTCTGCATACACTTTATTTTTCACTTGTAGTGCCATATACTGTATGTCCTATTGTGTAGAGGTTTGGGGTAATGTTTATAAAACCAATAAAGATCCAATAGTTAAATTTCAAAAGAGAGTAATTAGATTAATAAATAATGCAGGTTTTTTTTTTCACTATTCTTAAAGTCTTCTGCTTTAAAATTTAGTGATATAGTGTATTTAAAAACACTGGAGTTATTATATCGAGTAAGAATAAATAGTCTTCCTGATGGTATTCAAAGATTTTTTTCTTGGGAAAATAATTATAATTTAAAGGGGTTCCTTATTTTTGAAGTACATAAAGTAAGAACAAATATCAATTACAGATGTGTTTCAGTATTGGGTGTTAAATTGTGGAATAATTTAAATGATGAAATTAAGTTTAGTGACTCTCTTTTAAGTTTCAAAAAGAAGTTAAAAAGTAAATTAAAGTTTATAGTAGTCATTTGTGATG